TTTTTTTTTTTTTTTTTTTTTAACGTAGGCGTACGCCGTACAAGCGATTTTGGGTTTGTACGCATACGCAGTGCGTACTCGTACACGGTTCTACCCAGGTGCGTACATCTTATTTGATTTTTACATTTGTTTTTCACCTTCGGATAAAAAACATGGAATACACAGAGACTTCCGAAGTGACCCTCCAGCGAAAAGTTGTGTAACTTTGTATTGCGATTCTACAAGGTATTGGTTTTACAGATTTTTAAATTTTCTTTATAATTTGTTTATGATTTTGCACTGGCGGTGCCTTGGACCTTGCCCAGCGGGGCCATTCGAGCAGCCACAGGCAGCCCAGGCGTCCAACTTGGTATTGTAGTGGTTTGGTATGCACACGCTGAAGGACACTTGTTGTAGCAGCTGTCTATGTAACTGACTTCTGGAATGCGGCATGCAGTTCACAGGCGGAATTGCGGAAGCGCCTGGAGGAAGCGATGGGTGAGAATCAGGCTGACCCAGTGATGAAGGTGCTGGGAGATGAGGATCTGACAAGAAGACATCCTGCTTCTACCCCCAAGTTGGCACCTGGGCATGGAGAGGGCAGCGGCAGGGCCATGGGAGGCAGAGCTACAAGTCCTGGAGTCAGAAGCAAAGAAGGACTTCGCATGCAGGAGAGTGTTGGGCATGAAAGAGAGAGGGAACAAGATAGAGAAATGGAGAGGGGCGACCGAGACCGAGACCGAGATGGTGAAAGAGAGAAATACAGACACAGAGACAGAGAGAACGGATTGAGGAGGGAGAAATGTGGAAGTGCAGGGGGGGGCTCTCACGGTGGGAGAAAGCACCATGGTGAAGATGGTGAGTCTGAATATTTCTGAATGCGCAACATCATCTGTTGTTGTCTTAGTGGTTTCATCCCTCCACCTGTTTGTAGGTCAGACACCCAGGCTCAAAGAGCCTTCGGGAGTAATCATGATTTTAACTGCTATAGGAAAAGAGATCATCGCCACTGTACCAGAGGGGCCATTTTGTCGCACTGCAAACAGATGCTTGCAGTTTCTTTCTCGTGTCAGAGGTTCCGCTTGCTGTGTCAGATCTATGCCAAGGAGCTTTCATAGGTTGAAGAAGCTTTGTGGTTGCCGTAGAGTAGTAGCACTTAATGGGCTGCTCTCTCCTAGTCCTAGTGGGTTCCTTATGGCCCATGCTAAGTCAGCTTGCCATGTTGATTGAGGGAGTGTTTTTAGAGAGTATCAGAGGTAAAATTGTAACCACAGTTCGCCTTGTGTATCATGTATCCTGTAATGAGGTGCTGCGGTCCTTGCCGGCCCAGTGGGCTCTTAACCACTTGTTCCCACCCTGACAAGTTCGTGCTCACAATGAGAATGACTGCATTGCCTTTCGGTGTACGTACGGGATCAGCGGACTGTCAGCGCATTGCAGGTATGGCAGGAATGGGATGTTTTACATCCATATATACGTGCAAATGTTAAGCGTGCATGTTCTCACATACGATCAATTTGTTATCCCGCTTATGCGGATATAATCTTGCAGGCTTGCAGCTCATCTCCCCCGATGAGGAGAGAATGGTGGGGAAGGGCCCCCGATTGTTTCTTGTAATTATTATCATGTTTTCTGGCCTTGTTTTGTTTCCTGCTAGCATTGCCCCTCTGTTTATGCCTGTCACATATAATCCCAATTTAATCATAAGAAACTCTGCTAAAATCACTCCTTGCTGAGAGTCAGATAATCTGTTAGAGTTTCATCCGTGTGCTTCGGAATCTCTCTCTCTCTCTCTCTCTCTGTCTCTGTCTCTGTCTCTGTCTCTGTCTCTCTCTCTCTCTCTCTCTCTCTCTCTCTCTCTCTCTCTCTCTCTCTCTCTCTCTCTCTC